TAAGGTGATTGCTTTGGGAACGAACAACAAAAACTGACCTCGGCTAAGACAAACAAAGAGACTTCACAGGAAAGGTTCTGATGCACCCACAGATCGATCCTGCTGGAGCTTCCGAAAGAGAGGGACCAAGCCCTGAAGGTCCAGCACTGAGAACCTAGTGGGAATGAGCTCACAGGCTTTCTAGGAAATTCAGGGCAGGCAGTGATTGGCTTCAGTGTGTCTTCATTTGGTGTCCTCATCGGATCTCCCTGGCATGCATCAGAGGGCCCTTTAGGCCGATGGCTCTTTACATATATGAATTTTAATGAGGGGCTAAATGGCTGAGGGAATTACTCTGAATTGAGCAGCAGCTGCTTGTCTTTATTAAGCATAGCTGTTCGTACTAGATGGATCAACTCAACATTTGTCCTTGGCCATCATGTTACATATGTTAGAACCTTTTATAATTTTGCTTAAGAGTTATATTTTCTATTTAGCATAGTTCCGTGGATGTGTGGATAGGAGATACTTTTATTGTTCCTTTTAAATTTATGTTAAGAATTTAATCCCCAAATGATGAGTAATTTTTAATAGTTTGACCCAAACACTCACAGGGTGTGTCATAGGGCATGCATAGATATTGTTGGACAGTTTTCTCATTTCTTCATTGATAAAATGGACATGATAGTATATATTTTGCAAAGGTGTACTGAGACTTTTGTAATAACAGGCATACAGAGTTCGGCACCAGGGACATATATTCATTCCAGCCTAGTAAAATATTTTGATTTTAGACAGCTAAAACAACTTTATTTACTTTAGAGTGAGATTGCACTAAAGGACTGTAGTTGCCATATGATGCAAAAAATACTGAAGTAGTTGGGGAAGATTGGAGTGGGTTGGAGTTGAAGCACGCGCCCTAACTGGTCTCGTGGTACTTGACGTTCCTAACTTTATCTAGTGAAAGTAATGACAGTGATGACTGCTCACAAATGATTTGACCTTCTACAAGCTACGAGGAACGCTGTGGAAACTAAGGCGGGGATATACTTTGGCTATCTTGGAATATCTTCCTCATACTTGACTTGAATGTAGTCTTGTGTCTCTTAAGGAACATAGTAGTGGGAATATGTTCTGCAAAGTGCATCATTAAGTGATTTAGTAATTGTGTGAACCCCACCAAGAGATTCAGACAAACCTAGATGGTAGAGCTCAGTCACTAGACCTGGTCTCTACATACAGTCCAGGTGTTTCAATGCGCAACCTGGCATCTGTTTCACTGTTGGCATTTTTGTATTAGTAGAAGTATGCTCTGATGTAATGGTAAAAAACATAACGTAATAACTACACCAACCAGAAACATACCATGGTCATTCTCAAGCATGACATTGCGTGCATAGTTGTGCATGCTATGCTTTTATATTCCCAGCAGCACAGCAAGTGTGTTTATCCCAGCATCCTGACACACTCGTGAGCCACGCAGTTCCACGTTACAGTGGGTTTGATGTCACCAAATAGTAGGCCCAGTGGCATTTGTACAGTCTGTCATGACCAGAATGCTTTGTGGTGCTTGACTGTACGTGGAAGTCACTGCCCTGGGAAGTGATGGTGTTTTGTGTAGACTAATGAACCTTGTCTTAAGCTATGATTTTCAAGGCTGCAGTTCCCTCTTCTCCTCCCTTCAGTTGTTCCCATCTGTACCCTGCACATGGAGGACGAAGGCTGCTTTTAAGAATATAATCAAGTAGACACCATGCAGGGCAGGACGGGCACAGGCTTAGAGGAGAGGTGCGCCCAGCTCTGCCCTGTTTCCATCACCTGTCGTGGGGTGGCTGTGGGTGACTTTCCCTGCCTCGCCCACTCTCACTTACCAATGTGTGTAACAGGAAGGAAACACGTGATCTCTCTGATGAGAGCTGTTTGGTGAGTGGGGAGATTTATGCACCTAGAAATAAACACAGTGATTGGTTTACATGTTAGATCTTAGTATGGTTAAACCTATCACATAAGAGGATATGCACTAAAGTATGCTTGTGTTTGTATTATGTTTTAGTCTATTGAAAGGCTTGGTGGTACTATTATTTTTTTCTTTTTAAATCCATTTTATTTTAAAGAGAAAAATAAAACAAAATTTCAAAACAGCTATCGGGGTCAGCAATGGTACACTAATGAGACAATACGGTGTTTACACATGCATGTCTGATTTATTTCACTTATGAGTATGGTCTCAAGTTGCGTCCATATACCTATGGAAGTCTCAAGTTTGTCTTTCTTTATGGCTGAGTAGTACTACATTGTGTAAAATAGCACATCTTATCTAGTTCTTAGTCGGTGAGCATTTAGGTTATTTCCAAGATCTAGTTATAAATTTTGCTATTATAAACATGGGTGCACATATACATCATAGGGGTATGAGGTTTTTGATTTTTCTGGAAAAATACTCAGAAGGGGAATACCTGTGTCACATGAGACCTCTAATCTTAGTTTTGTGAGGAATCTCCACACTGATTTCCACAGTAGTTGCACCAGTCTGTCCTCCTGCTAACAGTTGGAGAAGGGTTCCTTTTTCCTCAAAGCTCCTCCAATGTTTCTTATTGGCTGGTTTCTTGATAATATTCATTCTTCCCGGCGTGAGATGGAATCTCAAGGTTGCTTTAATTTACATCTCTTGACTGATGAGTGATGTTAAACATTTTTTCATATGTTAATTTGCTATTGTATTTCATCTGAGAAGTGTATATTCATCTCAGATGCCCATTTTTAGATTGAGTTTTTAAATCTAGGAGGACTGATTTTTTTGAGTTCTTTACATGTTCTTAATAGTAATCTTTTGTCTGAGGAACAGCTGGCAAACGTTTTTTCCCACATCATGGGTTCTTTCTTCACTCTGTTGGTGGTTTCTCTTGCTGTACAAAAGCTTTTCAATAAGATGAGATTCCAGTTGTTGATTCTTTGTGATAGTTCCTGTGCAATTGATGTCTGTGCCTATACCAGTGTCTTCAAAAGTTTTACCTACTTTGTCTTCCAGGAGATTTAATGTTTCTGTTTTAATATTTAAATCTTTGATGCATTCTAACTTGGGTTAGCGTGTGGTAAAAGATACAGGTCCAATTTTAATCTTTGGCATGTGCAAAGCCAGTTTTTCCAGCACCATTTATTAAAGAGGCTATCTTTCTTGCAGTGAATGTATTTGGCACCCTTGTCAAAGATAAAGTGGTTTAGTATGTCTGGAGTTGTTTTTGCATCTTCTAATCTGTTCCACTGATCTTTGGGAATTGTTATTTTTAACTTGCTAGACTGTGCTTTTCCTAGGCCTGAGTCCCTAATTGGTACTATTTTTTAAAAAATGTGTGTCTGATCCAAAGCCAATTTCAGGTTTATCAGAGTTAGAGTGGGCAAGGCATAATGTTACTTCATTAGCAGTGTTGTGGCTTAGTAAACACCGACTAGGATTTTTTGACATCCTATTCTTGATTAAAAACTATGTAATAAAAATGATTCTGTTTATGCAAATGTAGAGCAGCATGGGCGGTACTTAGGACATATTTTCTTTTTTTATTTGTTTGTTTGTTTTTTGGGTTTTTTCTTTTGGTACTGGGCACTGAACTCATGACCTTGTGCTTGCCAGGCAGGTACTGTGCCGCTGAGCTATGTCCCTGCCCACCCTTAGGACGTATTTTCTACTACTATTCTGTGATGTTTATGACATGCTCTCCAGTTGTGGAACAGCAAGTTTTATGTATGTTTATAGCCAAGCATATTCTTCATATTATTTGGGTTTTATTATCTAAAAGTAGGTTCAGTCTCCCAGTTTTTCAGATGAGCATTTGGCTTTGGAGAAAGGTGAGTAAGTTACCATAAGTCACAAGCCTAAGGAGTGGCAAAGAAGGAGCCCCCTGATCATAGAGCCCACTTGCAGGGCAAGAGAAAACATCTTTGGCAAAGGCATGTTCATGATACAGAAGCTCTTTTTAGCCAGATATCAGCATTGGTAAATTGAATGAACACATTGTCAAGATCTGTAATTGAGTGAGGCAGAGGTTTAAGCAGAAACCAGATTTGATTCTCATTTTTTTCAGTTGTTGTCAGTATTCTTTTTATATAGTCATATATAATGACTTCATATTTTAGAGAGAAATTTCTGTTGACATTTTGCGTATATCTGGAAGTGAAAAGTACCCCTTGCATTCTAGACCACAAAATAAAGCAGCTAGTCATGCGTTCATGGATTTTTTAAGATGGCATTTCAATCTAAGACTTTGTACTTTTTTGGAATTAGTATTAAATATAGATAACTTTGAATTTAACAGCTTTTCATCTCTGGGCCCAAGTACCGGACATAAACAATTTAAAGGAATAAAGATTTTCTGCGACTCATGGTTTTAGCACTTTCAGTCGGTAGTTGGCTGGTTTAGAGGAGGAAATAGTATGCAGAGGGGCGTCACAGAGGAAAGCCGTTCACCTGGTGGTGGCCTGAAGCAGAGAGGGAGAGGAGAGGGAACAGGAGAATGGAGAAAAGGCGGGAGAAGACAGAAAGGTGGGAGGAGGGGAGAGGAGAGAGTCAGGCTGGGACGCAAATGTACCCTGTCAGGTCCGTGCTCAGTGACCCCCTTTCTCCAGCCCTCCTGTCCCACCAGGCTGCACCTCTTACCCACACATCCAGCTACGAACTCATCCGCAGGCTGAGCTGTCAGTGAGGTCAGCAGCACCATGATCTTGGAAGCTCCAATGCAGGAGCGTTTTGGTGACATTTTTGATCCAAACTGCAACAACTCAGTAAGGCTAGAATTAGTGAGACAGTGCATAAGTGTACTTTTCTGAAGAAAGAAATCTTATTTTTTCACCCTTCTTCTTTTAACAGAAAACCACAGAGTAATGATATTGTGCTTTATTAATAATAGAAATTCAAATTGGAATGTTCTTACCTTTTTTCTTAACCCATCCACCCCCATGTATTTTCCAAATGTAACAAAAGCTTTTTCTTGTTAATCAGCTGTGATTTCTGGCGATTTCTCTTGCAGTGTCCGTGTTTATGCTGAAAGTCCAGGTGAATGACATCATCAGCCGTCAGTACCTGAGCCAAGCGGTTGTAGAAGTGTTTGTAAACTACACGAAGACAAATTCCACAGTGACTAATAACAACGGCGCAGTGCTGATCAGAGTACCCTACCAGTTAGGACTCGGCCTAACCATTGTCGCTTACAAAGATGGCTACGTGTTGACCCCACTGCCCTGGAGGACCGGGAGGATGCCCAGTAAGCCCCCCAACTTTGTTCTGCATTTGCCAAACATAAATGACACCCCCCTTTTAGGAATATCTCATTCTTGGGAGCTGACATATGAATGTCTGAGAGGAGGCTAGATGGAGGATCAGTTTGGAGAAAATGTTATGTCCATTTCTTTAGACCACTGTAATAAAATACCAAAAGCTGGGGGGACGTAAACACCACAGAAATTTGTTTCTCACTGTTCTGGGGCTTGGAGGTACAGACACAGAGTTCCATCAGGCTCAGTGTTTTTCCGGGACCCGCTTTCTGGCTTATAGGTAATCCTCCCCACTGTTCCCTGCCCAGGAACAGGTACAGGAGTTGCCTTAGATCTTTTTTTAAAATTTAAGCTTATTGGTAAAATTCAGGTTACATGATGACCACATTCATTATGGGGAATTCACACCTATACTTGATGTATCTTGATTCCTCCTTTTTTTTCCCCATTCCCATTCCCCTCCCTATTCAAAAAGCTCAATTTTCATTTTATTCTTTTCTCCTTTTTTCTTTTCCCTCTTTCCTCCCCCCCCAATTCCCTTTCTTTTTGAACAGTTTCTTCCTATTTCACAATATTGATTGTACATTTATGTTCTTATTTATGTTTTCATTTTCTCATACCAGAGTGATAATGTGATATTTACTCATGTGGCTGATTTATTTCACTTAAGATTATGGTCTCAGAGTCTTATTTGATTATAAATGTCACAGTTTTATCTTTATGGCTGAGTAATACTCTATAAAAGCACACATCTCTATTTATTTGTTGGTTGGTTGATGGGTATTTGGGCTATTTCTAAGATGTTGTTATTACAAACTGTACTCTATGGGTGTGCAAATTTTACTGTGCTTTTAATTCCGGGAAAATACTCAGAAGGGGAATAGCTGGGTCCAATGGGACCTCTAATCCTAGTTTTTTGAGGAATCTCTGCAGTGATTTCCACAGTGGTTGCACCAGTATGCACTCCCAGCAGCAGTGAGGAAGGGTTCCTTTTCCCCCTCACAGGCCTTCCAGATTTTGTTATTAGTTGTTTTCTTGGTGATAGCCATTTTTTCTGGAGTGAGATGGAATCTCAGTGGTGTTTTAATTTGCATTCCTTGAAAACTCAGAGATGTTTTATAAGGGAACTAAATTCCATTCATGAAATGTCCTCTGAGCCTAATTATCATTCAAAATCTCATCTCTTACTGCAGTCAACTTGGGGCTTAGGACTTCAATATGAGTTTTAGGAGGGGGCCACAAACTTCAGGCTAGAGCACGTGGAAAGGCATCCTTTTCTCCTGAAGAGGCTTGAAGGAATTGTGAACAGGAGCGGTGTCCCACCTGAAGCTTGTGTGCCGCTGGCATTGGGGGGATTGGTGTCCCCAAAGGGTGAGGAAGAAGGGGTGGCGGGCTGAAGGGAGCCAGGTGATGAAGGACCTTCTGCAGGGCTACTTAGCAGGAGGCCCTTACTGTGGATGCTGGAGGCACTCAGCAGTGTGGAATGCAGTGGGGCTGGCGGAGATGGAGAGGGGCTGGCTAGGACGCTGTGACAGTTCTTCTGGTGTACAGGGACAGCTGCACATCCCTGTCCCCTGCAGGCAAGAGGGACAGTGAGGAGGTGAGCACAGGAGACGTGCAGAAGAAAGCCCTGGAAGGGCTTGTGTGGCCGACGGGGTAACGGGGAGGTTGAGCCATTGCAGACGCTGAAGTGCCATGGTATGGATTGGAAGGAAGTCGTTCGTGTAGGGCTGTCGGTTGCTCTTTTGCCAAAGGACAGACAAGCTGAACATACTTGTCATTTACTAGAGACAGAAAAATAATTAAAGAGACATTCAGATAAAATGAGAAAAGGAAATAAGATTAAAGTAATTGGTAGACATTGGAAAACAAAGATGAGATCATTGACGAAATATAAAAACATAGCCTTATGCTTACATCTGGCCAATCTAAATAGTAAACATGGGGGAAGTAAAAGAGGGCAAGAAAAAGAAAAGGATTGCAGAATAAATTTTAAGCATTCATAATAGTGTTGTACAATTGAATAATTTTCTGATATGTAAATAACTACTTTTGATTTTGGATGATGTTGAATCATTGTGTTCTAAGTACAAAAGCCAATAATCCTTGTAGTCTATAAAGTATAAAAGGTACAAAACCCAGTGTATTATTTTAAACCCAGTGTGTTGTTTTAAAATAAAACCCAGTGTATTGTTTTAAAAGGTATCGCAAGTGTTTTATGAAAGTAATATACCCTTACTTCAAGACCTAACAGAGATAACACAAACTTTAGATGCCCCTCTATGTGCTCTCTGTCACACACATAAAACATATGCGTGTGCACACTTTTATATGTTAATCTAGCCGGTAGCTAAATGCAACAATTCTAAAATAGAAGACTGAAAAGAAGTTTGCCATTATTCATATAAACCATCCAGTCAAGACCAGGTAGGATTTTCATTCATCACGGGAGTATGGGAGTCAAATTAAACTCTTAACTTTAATATGTCATACTAGTAAAACAAATTATAATGACCATCGTATAACAATAGTTATCTATATCTATGCTTAATTAAGAAAAGAATATTTTTAAAACTGTAATAATAAGCCAGGTGTGGTAGCATACACCTGTAATCCCAGCACTCAGGAGGCTAAGGCAGGAGAATCACTATGAGTTCAAGGTCCACCTGGGCCACAGAGTGAGACCTTGTCTCAAACAAACAACAAACAACAACAACAGGAATAGCAGCAAACAAGATACTACATCTGTATCGTACTGAGGTTCTCGCAGTCATACTTAACTGTAAAATATATTACAGGTGCTTCTCCTAAAAAAGTAAGCACAGAGGTTCATAGTATTTCACATTGTAGCAGTTCTTAATACAAGAAAGGTGTTAATAGAAAAAGCGGGGAAAGAAGATCAAGCTGGCATGATTTTATCCTGGAAAACTATAGCTTCTCAATCCTTTTTTAAAATTCTGGGCATAGAATTGAGGACCTCACACACGCTAAACAAGCTCTTCTACCGTGATACAATCTTAACTCTGGATTGCCAGGCTTAAAACTTAAAATGAGTGTAATTTCGACAGTTACTGGTTACAAAGTTAGCATTAGGACCAGTGAACATGTGTTCTTATGTACTGGTGTAATAACTGGTTAGGAAAAACAGTGACAGGAAGTCCCTCTCAGAACGATAAGAACAAACAAAATACATTGAATGAAAGGTAAAACAACTGTGCATGCAAAGAAACTAAAATTACTCAGTCTGACTAATATTTCTAGAAAAAAATCAAATAAACTAGAATTCTGGATGTTTAGACAAACATTTCTTCTTAGGAAGCTGAAATATTGCAAAGATTTTAATTTTTGCTAGATTGGTTTATAGACTTAATTCACTTAAAAAGAAAAAAAAACTGGCGAAATTTTAATCCTTCAAGAATAAATGTGTAAAGATACCTGGTAATTAAAAGATTTATTAGAGGTAATTTGCTGTTTCACACAACTAAAATATTCGGTATTGCTGCAAAAGAAAACACAAGCAACTAAGGTTGAAAGTATATTTGAAACAGTAAAGGATGATGTGTTCACTATGCAGAGAATTCATGCACATTAATTAGTGCAAAATCCTGCTTGAGTAAGGTTAAAAGGACAGGCAATTTTCAAAGAAAGCAAGTATAAATGATGAGTGGCATGAGAACATACTTTATCTTCCTGATAATCAACGCCCTGTACACTGCAAAAATATTACTTCTTTGCTTTTTCCGAGGCAAGTTCTTAGAAAGTGATTATTTTCAGTACTGACAAAACAAGATGGATCAACCTTCGCAAACCTAGTGAGGGTGGTGTACTTTGGCTCTAGGATTGCAAAACAATTTGGGCGACTTTTAAAAAATGTGTTAAGAACTTCACAGTCTTCATACACTTTAACTCAACAGTGCCCCACTGTACTCTGTTAAAAGCAAACCTACAAAGAAATAGAGTGGACAGATTCTGGTGCGCCACGGAACTAATTATGATGTTTTTATACAACCGTGAAGGTGGGAATAGCCTAAACCCTGCAGTGTATAGTGCTGTGCGTGAGTGAATCTGGATGCTTCAACAAAACGACTGTGTCCTTAAACGTGTTCCAGAAAGTGTCTGTAGAGAGACAGAAAGAGCAGAGTAAAACTATTCAGGGTACAATATCATTCTCCTGATTAAAAAAAAGCCTCATAGGAAAAACCAACTAAAAGTTACATTAAAGTGTTAATTTCATTACTGCTTCTGTGGCAGTTTTGAAATGACCATCATTTTCTTATTCCTTGCTATATCTTCAACTTTTCCAGCATGGACGGGTGTTTATCCCTTTTTAGTAAGAAAAAGGGTTTAGGTGAAAAACAATCTGCACTGTGAGTTTTAGTGGTGTTGGCAGCGATTCTCAGGCTTTATGGCCTCATGGCAGCTGTCGATCATTGCCGCCTCCTTTAAACTGCCCGCGACTGAAAAGCATTCAAATGCAGCGTAGTTCCTGCCTGCAGTCATTCCGAGGTCCCAGATCCAGCCTCACCACCCTCTCCAATGTAGTAAGTGCATTCACCAGTCTAAATGTTCATGTATTCTGAAATTGAAATTACCCTTGCATTTGGCAGAACAAGGAATGAAGAATGGTTCGTTTCAAGTCCCCCCGTGGCTGCGTACTTGTTCTGTGCTCCTCTTTTCTCCAGCTTCCTTTAGAGAGCTTTGAAGTGTCTGTAAAGGCATTGCTTGCAAATGTGTTTTCTCTTTTAAGAGGACTGAGGATACCGTGTGATTTCTGTTCCTTTTGTGTACTCAGGTCACAGAGGGGAGGTACAAAATGAGAGTTGGTGTTTTGGGAACTCCTCAAAACTGATTCTCTTTTGTACGATTGGTCAGTTTGGTTTGTTCTTTTTTATTAAACGATCTTCTGTGGCAGCTTCCTGACCAGGTCTTGAAATATTTTAACCATATTTTAGATGATCTGCCCTTGATCAAGCTCTTGGTGATTCTGAAGCCTTGCTGCACAGCCTGGTTCAGCTCGCCCTACGGTGCTGCCTGGGGCTGCTGATGGGGTTCCTTGGGGCCACCTCCTCTGCCTGCTGCGAATTGGTTTTGTAAAGCATGCTGTATCAGAAGAGCATCTTACTTTATGTGGGAAGAGAACCTTGAGTCAGGGGACCAAGAAAAACTTAAAAAAAGAGTTTCTAAGAACTAAATAACAAGTAATGATTATACAGATAAAAAAGCAGGGAATTACTTAGACACGTAACTTGATCACTTACGTTGGGGTCGTACAGAACATCATCAATTGTCCTGATGAGAACCTCTTTGCGATAGAAGAGATGAGTAAACTAAAATAGTGATGCCCAGTGATTTCTTCTCATTTCATTGTGTTTTATCTTTCCTCCATATTTCATATTCATTTTTGCTTTGTTTTCAGTTGTTCTTTCCAAGAAGCAATTTGCTTTTTTCTCATTTTTTTCAGTTTTTAGAACTTGCTGTAACAGAATTGTACTTGTCCCATCCTTTCCTCTACATTAAATGCTTTTAATTGTGCTGTATTTCACAGTATATTCATCAGTTACACTTTCACTGTTCCCGCAAAGCCAAGCGAACATATGGCTATTTGAAGACACTGTCTTGATTACTGGAAAATTAGCTGGTAAGTACAGCACTTCTTTCCTAGTAGGAAAACAACGTGATTATTATTTAAGTGAATCAGTAATGCTTATAACTTGAAAAATCTAAATCAATCAGTGATGGTTAGCATTGACTAAATTGATCTAATCAAACTTGTCTTACTATACAACTCATGTTTCTTGCAGTGGGAATCATTTTCTCATTTACTTTTCTAGCTTCCCAACTGGGAATATGTGAATTTAGAAAATACTGGAAAGAGTTTCTCTTAGTCTTTTTTTTTTTTTTTTTTTGTCTTTTTCATTTTTATCGGTACCGGGGATTGAACTCACGACCGCCTGCTTGCATGGCAGGTGCTTATGCTGCTGAGCCAAACCTCCAGCCCCTGTTAGTCTTTTTTCAAAATCACATCTCTCACCAGGATGTAGTAGTGGTCAGTCAGGTAGGAGAAAGGACAGAATTCATGTCATGCAGACTTTTGAGGCTCTCTAATTGAGAGTTATTTTCATTCCTGCCTTTTTGGAAGTCTTTCTGCCTGTGTGGGAGAGGCCTGACACTCAGTAGTTTTTGTACGTGCTAGGTAAACATGACTTCCCTTACTTGCACGTCCTAAGAGAGAGATGCAAAGTCTCACTTTGGGTACTGATTCAAGTTATGTCCTCCAGTTCAGCTTGACCCACCATTAATATGAATGTCTGGGCCTTATGTTGCCTGCCTGCACCCCTTAATTAGTGCATAGGAGAAACGCAGGCATTCTATGACTTTACGTTATTATACAGTACCTTTATCAGTGACAACAATTTGACTTGTTTGTTTCTTTGTTCTATATTGGTGAAAGTTCTCAAGGTGGAGTTGGAGTCCATTATGAGAGTTGTCATACGACATTTTTCTGTTGCTGGAAAAAAATAGCTGGCATACACAGATGTAGGAGACACGTTTGTATTGGCTCATGGTTGCAGAATTTCAGTCCGTGGCTGGTTGGCTTCAAGGTGGAAGCCTCATGCTAGAGGGACAGGACATAGAAAAGCCACTCAACGTGTGATATCCAAGAAGTGGGGAGTAGGAGAAGAGTAGAGAGGGAGGAAGGGGCCAGAACCAGATAGAGACCCCAAAGTCACTGCCCAGGGGCGCACCCAGACCCATCTAGTGGTGTGCTTTCCTCATGTCCTAGGTGTCTGTCAGGCCAATCCAGTTGATAATCCAAACACCTGTGTAGGAAACTTCTTTTTATTTGTAGAAGTTACTTAGTTTTAAGCTATTAAACTAGAATACTTAATACCATTTAGAAATGGAGTAGGAGGCTGAAGACCCAAGTATTCTTGAGATATCCGCACGTTTAGGAGAATTTTGAGCAGAGGTTGGGTTGGGTGCGGGAGGCTGGGAAGTAAAGGAACTGGGTCCCTGACAGAAGGGCCACCGTGTATGCTGCTGGGCCCTTGTGAAATCGGCTTCTCCAGAGTTCCACGTTTGTGTTGTCTTTAAAACCTTATTTTGGGCTTGTTTTGACGTATATCCTTATCTCTTATTCACCTCTTTAGCTAAATTGTAGTTTTATAAATTATGAACTTATTAATCTTTATAGTGGTGGTTGCTGCTGGAGTACTCGGAATGGACTAGCGTGAGCATGTCCCATCCCCAGGCAGCGCCACCTACCAAGCAACGAGGAGCACGTTTGCCTGGGCAGTACTGCCTGGCAGGTCCTCTGGGGGCACCGTGAGCCCTCGTGAATTTTCAGAGCACTTCCAGTTACTGTCCCCATATTTCCTTAGGAGGTGGCCGATTGCTGAGAAAAGGCAGCAAAGAATGGATATTCCTGATGGCATTAAGTCTTTTTTATAGAAAATGGACATTTTTATTCTGCGACTTGCATTCAGTGCTTAATCAGGAGGTGTTCATTTTGCACAGTGGTCATGAGTTTGGCATCTGTGTGAATGTATTTGTGGTAAAAGAGTAGGTGAAAATGGAAAAAGTAAGAATATACAGTCTTTGAGAAGTTGAGCTAGATATTTTACATAGCATGCATGTTTTCCTTTATAAGAACTTTGATTAACATAGTTAATTTACATACTTTAAAAGTATAAATTGTACGTAGTACATAAGTGATCTAAAGCAATATATATGTGTGTATATTTATATCTATATTTATAACTATAGAGATATATAGTTGTAGTGTTTTAAATTAGCTATTTGTTTTTCAGTTATTTTTCTGGCTTAGCACATAAAAAATAAACTAGAAATTGATGTCTCTTTTTTTAAAGAAATTGATGTCTTACATTCATCTATTATTTACTGTAAAGAAACTTTAAAAATTGATACTTTTCATCTTAATAATTCAAATGGTTTATTCTAACTTTATGAGTGATCTTAAGATCCAAACCAAAAGCCGATGTTTCTGATAATTTTTAATTTTAATGATTTAAAAGTTGTTCCTTGAGTTACATGAAATCTAGTCGTTACAGATATATTCATATTGTCCCTGAGTTCTCATTTGATGAATACTGGATAGTCAATTCAAAATTATGGAAATGAGATAATATTTATAAGATGACTACTTGACATTTGGAAAAATTTCAATGTATAATTAGCTATCTGATAAAGAAATCTATCCATTTTGGTATAAAATCAATGACACCTTCCCTTGCAAGTTGCTGAAAAAAAGTCCTAAATAGCTGGAGCCCAAAAGAGATTTTTTTAAAGAAGTGGGATCAACTTTAAATTGTGCTGTACTGGAAAACTAGTGCTTTTCTGCCTTTTAAAATTTTTCCGCTCTTTAATATTGACTTGGTTTTCAAACAGGATCTGAATTTGGTCACAGGAGGGCTATCCCAGATGTAAACCTTCCCCCAGAAAGTCCCAGCAAGCCTTCTCTCCAAGTCCAAACAAAACTCACGTCACATCTCATTGGCTGGGCCTGGGAAAAGGCCCAGTGGGGGACAAATTGGGCCACTAGAAGATTGAGATGCTTTTGTTGGTTTCAGCCTCTTCTGGCATCCACCACAACTTTGGGTTTTATCGAGATGAGAGCCCAAGCGAACCACATGAGTTACAAGGGGCCAGTGTGGGGTTCCCTAGAGGGAAACCCGAAAAGGCATGAAGGGATTCTGGGCAACAGAATCTTGCTACAAAGCTGCTTTGTGTGATCTAAAGAAAGGGGAATTTCATAGTTAACCAGTTCTGGATTTAAATTCGTAATTATACAAGGTGTTAGTGTCTTTTAGAAATAATTATATCCACTTTTGTTAAAGTAAAGTGTCTTAACCTATGATGCTATGCAAATACACACTTGTTTTATTGGTTTGTTTTATTTTGGTTTTTTTTTTTGCGTGTTTGTTAATGAGGTTTCCTTTCTGCAGATGCCAAATCTCAACCAACTGTTCAGTTTTCAAAAGCTTTAATTAAACTTCCGGACAACCATCACATTAGCAACGTTACCGGCTATCTTACAGTTCTACAACAGTTTTTGAAAGTGAATAATTTTCAGTATACAACTGGAATTACTCTCAGTAAACCAGGTACTTGCTAGTTTGTGCATAGTCTCAACGTATTTGTAAGAAACTTTACTATATAAATCTTTTTTCCAATGCAGTTTAATTAGGGATTTTTAGATAGTTATTAGAAATTTGATATTTGTTTAAGCTTTGGAAAGCACATGTCACTTTTAAAACATAAATCTTCATAGTTACTAAAATGTTTCTAAGCAATTTTTTTTCCTTTCTTTTTATCAGTACCGGGGATCGAACTCGGTACCGAGTTGCCTGCTTGCAAGGCAGGTGTCTAAGCAATTTTTTATTGATTGAGAGAATGATTGTGCTGAAGTCTTTGGCCTGCATTATCTCAAATTAAAGAAAATTTCATTTTATTTTAATTCATTAAATTTCATTTGACCCAAACCAAGTAAACTAAGTATAGAAAATGATATGATTATTATAAACTTTATAAGTTACAAGTACACTTAAAAATGGGAATTGGCTTTAAAGACATTTATACATGTCTTTTCATAGTTTGACTTGTTATGCAGTCTTACCAAACTGATGAACGTGTCAGTGACCCTAGAGCTAAATTCGCACTCTCGCCTGGTGATTTGTTGATGACAATGAGGTCTTAGGGGTTTTTGTTTTACCCGTAAGGGCACACTTCAGGTTGTAGCTACCAGGTTTTTTTTTTTTTCCCCAAGGCTTTTGTTAGGTATAGGTAGGTGCAAAATAAAATAAAATAAAATAAATAAAAAGAACCAAACACATAGATTGGAGTAAGCCATTGTAATTTTTCTTTTTATATGTTTTAACTATCCTCTCTGAGTTATATATCAGTAAATATTGTGTATATATGCTTTCCAGAGTCAACAGCTTCAATATTTTAGACTCTTGTGATTTAAAACTGAAGGGGATGATGGGATTTTACACTTACATGTGACTACATGTCCACATTATTCTACCAATTCTAATTGCTCCTTGCAGCATAACTGGGAGCCCATTGTTTAAAATCATCTCGCACAATTGTGTAATTAGATCGTCTCAGTTGTGTTAGTTTTGAATTTCTCTGTCTCTGTTTCTGTCTCTCTCTTTCCTCTGTCTTCTTTCTCTTTTCTTTTTCATCTATAAATTTAAAAAAGTTTTTGGATGCTTCATTTGGGAAACAGCCAGAAATGACAGCAATAAGCAATAATGACAAACTGGTCTTCCTGGTTAGGCAGGCATCTTCTCTGCAGTGATTCCCACACTAGTGACCCTCACTTTCTGATCACAAAATTTTTCCCTTCTCTACACAGCTGTGACTGCAACAGACATTCCCTGCAGTGCACTGCAGCTAGTTCTCTGGTAGCTCGTGAAAAATTTCAGTAAGCCAGCTGTGACTTTCTCCGGTCACTGAAGACACAGGGCCGATGGCCACCTGTGTTGCTGGCACTTCCAAGATCATACCTGATGTGAGGTTTTGTGCTCATTTATCCCCCATGGAAGGCTCTCCTCTGCATCTTGGCATGGGTGTCTCCTGCCCACTGGACACAGCTCAAATGCCCCTCTTCAGGAGGACTCTCTATTGATCCCATAGGTTACATTTCCGTTATAGATGACGGTGTGTTAATTAATGTTTTCTGGGGGCGTGGGACTGACTAAGAAATGGAAGAAGAACGAGAAAGGATGTTCGTTCTTTTTCTTTCTATTTTGTAATACTGGGGATTGAACTTAGAGCCTCTGTGCTCAGCTACATTCCCAGCCGTTTTTATATTTCAACTTCTATGAATGATTACTAAGTGTATACTTGGACATAATTTTAAACAAATGCTGATATGAGGACTTCTCTGATTTGCAAAGTTGCCCAAGCTGGACTCAAACTTGCCATCCTCGTGCCTCAGCTTCCCACAGTGCTGGGATTGCAGGCGTCTACCACCATGCCCAGCAAAAAAGGGCTTTTGATAGCATCAGTAACTTTGTATGTGTGTATTCAGCGTCTCTTTGGAGCCCATATGAGTATGTTGGGCCAGTAGAAGTTTTATAAATGTGTTAAATGAACGAATAAAGCTCTAGCTTTGAAGCCAAATATTCAAAAATTACATTAGGACAAAGCAAATAATAGTATAGTTTCTCTGTTTCTAATGTTCTAATAAATTTCTTAGAAAATTTAAAATTATCAAATAATTCATAGAAATCAATACCATACTTTAAACATGATAGCCATATCTTTATGCATTTTAAATGTCCTGGTGTACATTATCACTAATATTTTAAAGCAAAAGACAGAGTACTTTTTACTTTCGTCTTCTTCAAAGAAACAGAAAACAGATCTCTAAGAAAGCATACAATAGATTACATAATCTAATATGTAGAACTTTAGGAAAATCAGGAAAACCAGTCTTTCTATTTAACCTGTTTTCTTCTACTCTTTGGGCTCGAGGTATGATGTGATACCAGCGTTTGAAATCTAAGTTTATGTTAATTGTTTTAATTATATTATTACTAAGCATATGTCAAGACGTAAGTTTAAACAAATAATGATACTGCTTAGCGATTTTGGTTTTGTGTTTAATTGCCAACTGCCAAGCTTGCCTGTGACAGTTTCCATTTTTAAGAAGAGTACTTTTTACACACAGGGCACAGCTGAGTGAGTTGATTATGTGAGATGCCGGTCTAGTGTTGCAGGTCTGTATCGAGGAGGATTGAGGATGTGGGATGGTGCAGCCTCTGTTTACGTACAGTAGTGGAGATGTGATTTTTGGTCATTGGTTGTTAAATTTTTAAAAACATTTGATAGAATTCCAGTGTCCTTGGTAACTGGATGATGGTGTGAGAATTAGGTAACTCAGGCTTAGACTGACTCGTCTATGTTACACTGGAGGCTTTCACTTATTTATGAAATCTTTTGAAATTACTTTTGAAAAGTCTGTAATGGGAAGCCAGTAACTATTTGATGTTAAAATGGGTGACTCTGGATGAAAATCGAGAAGCTGGGTATTTTAGACCCCTAATAATTTTTATGTATCTCTAATGTGTTTACATAGAATTTGAACATACTGTCCTTTTTTTAGGTTTTGAAAACGTTGAATTGACCCCTCTTGCTGCAATATGTGTGAAAATATTTTCTGGGGGGAAAGAATTAAAAGTGAATGGCTCTATCCAAGTGTCTCTTCCTCTTCCACACACAAATAATGTGAGAGCAGGGGATCGGATCCCTGCGTGGACCTTCAATATGAACACAGGTATGTCATCGAGGTGAAAGCCTTTCGAACAGTTGAGAATTTCATCTGAGAATTCGATGTAGTTCTGGCTTTCCAGTGATATAACTTTATATGCTTTATTAGTAATCAAAATGGACCTGGTTTTGATTACTATGAAACAGTTACGGGCAGATAGGATGTCAATACATTATGTCAAAAAAAAGTGTTATTTACTCACCTTCTCTTGTATTTTTCATACTGCCAACATTTTGAGATAAAATTTTTTTTGAAAAATGTATCCTTTTAAATGTTTGTTTTGGGGGCCTCAGATTTAGCTCAGTGACATAAACGCTTTGCAAATGTGTGGTTGTGAGTTTGATTTCCAGTATGAAAATAAAATTGTTTTAACAGAAGATAGGACTTTACTTAAAAGCTTGATTAAAGCAATTAAGTAATGTAGACTAATTTCATGAAAAGAGAAACATGTGATTAAGAAAATGAAAGCAGGGGCTGGGGATTAGCTCAGCGGCATAAGCGCCTGCCTTGTAAGCCCGTGGTCGTGAGTTTGATTCCTGATACTGATAAAAAAAAAAAGAAAAGAAAATGAAAACATGAAAAACACTTAGGAAGAATTACTCTAGTGTTCTGTAGCATCTTAGTTATTAGGGTAACAGTGTGTAAAATATTCCAAAAAAATAGGAAGTGGATCCAAAGATTCCTAACATACAGACAAGATACATATTTGAGGAGATAGAAATGCAAATTACTCTGATTTAATGATTATACCTTGCATATGTGTGTCACAGTATATTTTACCTTGAAACAATTAAAAATAAACTACTGCTTTACATGTTGTAAATAATTTACTACAATAAGAAGCCAAACATATAAATAGCTGTTGTTATTTGCACATAAAACTTCATGAGATACGTGGGTTTTACTGAATTCTTTTCTCTGTGGAGGGCAAGATTTTATTGAACCAGATAGCAGTTCTTATAGTTTAAAAAAATTCTAGTCAGTTACATTAATGGCATTAGAAAAACAATGTTTAGTAAATTAATAATGCTGTAAAATAAACACTGTAAATACTTAATTAAAATCCCAGCACAGGTGATAAATAACTACCTGAAATGAGCTAAAATTTCACTATTCACATCTTTTGGAAATGTTTCAGTGTGTACAATTTAAACATTAATTAGACAGAAAGTATTTTTCTAAGTGTGTCACATCCTTAGTTCATTTATAGTCAAATAAATCAAATTGTTCTAAGTTGTATACTATGCACTGTACTATAAAATGATATATTTAACATACATTATTCTATGATAATATTTTGTGGTATTCTAGTCTTTGAAAAAGTCCTGAATAGCACTCTTCATGTGACTTATTAGCAAAGTCCTGTCAGCTCTGAAGATACATGATTATATGTATATGTACATGTACAGATACGTTATAGCTAGCACTTTTTATTTGCCTTCCTTTTTAGGTGCTTGGGTGAATTCTGGCCGAGGAGTGGTCAAAGAACAGGACAGTCATTTAATCTGGACTTACGATGCACCCCATTTGGGCTACTGGGTAGCAGCTCCCCTTCCAGGAATGAGAGGTACCTTAACAATGAAAAATAAGTTTAGAAATAAATACAGGTATCACGCTGGAAGCTCTGTCACCAGCCCTGTATTCATGCTAGGCTTTTCCCTTCCTGGCTGTGTGACTCTGGAGAAGGCACTTAACCTCAGCTCTGCTTTGTGACCAGGGCATGTTTGCATACTGAGCAGTGCGGTTCATGTTGGGGAGCTGTCCAGGCATATGATGTATCTTGACCATTTTGATGCATTTTCCCACCCTCTCCCTTTCCCCGATCCTCTTCCCCATCTCTAAGACATACTGTTTCTTGCAGCTTTATTATGGGTTTCTTTTGTGAGACAAACTGTGTGATATTTAACCTTCTGCATCTGACTTACTCTCATGATATTATGGTCTAAAGTGCTGTTTTCCTGCGTGTGACATGGCTTCATTTTTCTTACGGCTGGATAGTATTTTGTTGTGTATATACGCTACATTTTTCTATATGGTCTCTATTTTTAAAAAATATATGTATGAAAACACTAAGGTCCATGAACTCTGAGGACTCTGATAGCTATAATGTAATATCTGACGGATCTCTGAAGGAGTTTGTTCACATAGGTGGTTATTTAGTGTGTGTCTTAGTCTTTTTTGTTTGTTTGTTTTGTTTAGTTTTGGTTGCTAGAACTCAGTATCCCAGTACCCAGAGGGTTATTTTGGCTGAGGTCACAGTCCTCACACTGTGACGGGGAAGGAAGGCATGACAGAGTGGCAGAACAGAGGAAGCTGCCCCCCTCATGGCAGCCAGGAAGGAGCTGGGAGGGAGACAGACCCTGGCAGGCGACCCCTCCTGGCCAGCCCCAGCTCCTATCAGCACATCAGCCGTCAGCCGTCAGCTGTAAGCCCCATAATCCAAGCACTTCCCAAAGACACGAGGCTTTGGAGGCCACTTCAGATCTAAGCCGCAGCTGTGTACCTCCATGGCAAATGAATTCTGTCCGGATGAATTAAGAGTTTTCAGTTACAATCAATAGAAACAGATTTTGGGTAATTTCTGAACACCTGAAACAGGATTCTAGGGCAGGCTGAAGAACTGGTGTGGGAAGAGGCCAGGATCCCTGCAGCTCCAAGACCCAGTGAGCAGCCAGGGTGGCTGTCGTGGCTGGTGGCTGTGGTGGTGACCCACCCCTGCCTCCTGTTGTCTTCCCATTGCCCTCTTCTGGCTCACTCTGGAGACCCTGAGTCCGCTCACTGGACCTGACCTTGCATTGTGAGCACATCCCCTGGCCTGTGGGCTGGGAGGGTGGGAGGCTGTCTGTCCATCAGGTGTCTCCAGCTTGCTCTGGAGAGAAGGTAGAGGAGAAACCAAAGGAAAACAGACCTGACCTGAAGCCTGGTACAGAAGGGGATGCTGGGATCTGGTGGCTGGAACCTGTGGATTGTCTGTTAGGGACACCCACAGTCTAGGAGAAATGAGTGTCTCATTTACTTACATTTAATATCATCACATGACTAAGAGTGTCTGCACCCAGGGAAATCCTCATTTAGTAAATTTCTCAAGAACTTTACACATTGTGTTTTTTATCCCTTACATCTTTGTGAGTAAAGAGGAAGCCACCTGCCGGCTGTAGTCTGGACTGATTCCCCCATTGCCTGCTCCCGCCTCGCGGGCCCTTTCAGCGATTGCTGGCCTAAATGGAACTGGTTCTTCACATTCCCTGCCACCGGCTAGGCTTGCTTGCACTGTTTTTTGTTTTTTAATTTTAATTTTTTTTATTCATTGTCCTACATCTTCATACGTTGGGTATTTACAGAATGAGAGCAAAGCAAAACTTTTAGTGTTCATTTAATGAGGATCTGGGATTGAAAGTTCAGGTGGGCATCATTCTTCTAGGATCTTTTTGGTTTTTCAAATGTTTCGGCTCCCAGCTGAGAGACAGCTGCTGCCTGACTGTTTCATGCTGGTCAGCGATCACCCAGATTCAGAGTGTAAATGACATTTTACTCACGTCTCTCTGCAGTATGCTGTCATCTAACTTTATCTTTTATTTTGAAGATGCAGGTTTTGCCAAGAAATGTTTTAAAAATCCATTTGATTTTTATTTTCATTTTAAATGTCAAACCATGCAGCCAAACAAGGTTTTGTTCAATGAAACCAACATTTACAATTCCTTTAGAAGAAACAGCCATTAGCCAATGCAATGAAGAATAATAATTCTTTTTATTTCTATTTGAAGTTAGTTCTTGCAAGATTATTTATTCAGAAACCAGAGGGTGGTCACCTTTGTTCTCTGTGTTATAAAATACCACTCAGTTTTGCCAGCTGTTTGGCCTTATCCTCTTTTAGATTTCCAATCATCATGAAATATTCACAACGAAGCACAATTAATATTTATTGGTACTTCAACTCAACTAAATCTAAGTTATTTCCTTTTAAATAAAAGTAAACTAAGGATCACTTGGGTTTTCTAGAGAAATATACTTTCACTAAAAATATACCTAAAGCAACCAGTTTGCATAAGATGGTTTTATGAATAGAAAAAGCCAAAATCATTTTCTAAAAGAGGTAGAAGTTCTGTTCCAGCTTATCTGTTGGGAGAGATTTTGTGTGGGCCTCAATACTCAAACAGAATTGTGGGATTCTCACTTAGCTTGAACGAGACACCTTTCTGTGATGCTTTTGAGCAGTCTGCTCTGCAGACATATCCTGCCTGGAGGAACACTGTACCATTAGAGGTTCGAATGACTTGCAAGTAGCTTTGCCTTTGCTTAAAATTTATAGGGTGAGCTTGAAAGAGGGACGTACCCATCTGAGTGTTAGTTGCTTTGTTTTTAACTCAGGGCTTGGCTACTGTATTCATCTGTTCAGGTTATCATAGCCAGACTCCATAGTAGGGTAGTGTATAAAGGACAGAAATTCTGTTTTCTCACATTGTGGAGGCTGGAAGCCCCAGAGCTGGGTTGAGAGGCGTTTCTTGGTGGTCTTCTTGCAGTGACCTGTATGTGTTCACTGTGGAATCCTCCTCTCTCTGTACCATGGCATCTCTCCTATTTGATTAGGGCTCAACCCTCATGACTTCACTTAACCTGTCACCTCTCTAGGCCCTGAAGCAAATTCAGTTATAGTGGGGCTGGGACCTCAGCACATGAATTTTAGTCCAGTGTTGATTCGGCCAGGATATGCTTGCAGAATGGATGGCTCTGAATATCACTAGAATGTGTCTGATTCAACAGATGTGATTATTCCTGCAAAGGGAGTAACAACATATTCTGTTCATGCAGAACATTTCTGACACTGGTGTATGTGTGTGAAGGGCGTGGGAGGGTTCCTTACACAAAGGATTTCTCCAGTAAAGATGCATTGCCATTCATTTCTTTCAAAATACTCCCCCTCATTTATTCCATCATTCTTGGGACTGTATCTTGTCCTATAACAAACTTTTTTAATTTAATCATTCTCAGTACTTCTTATTGACTCCTTGTATAATCAGACTTTATTACAGTGTTTGGTCCTGCATGAGATTCTAGGATAGAATTAAGCTACTGTAGTTGTTTTTAAATTTAATTAAAGAAATTTTGTATTACACTGCTGTGCTTAATTGTTGAATATGGTATGCACTGTGTTATCAGTTACTATCTATGAAAATAGCTGTTACCAGAGTGCCTGTTGTATAACTTCAAATCTTCACTCAGTAACAACCTTTGTCACCATTTGCTGAGTGCTTATCAAGGCCAAGCACTGTTCTGCCTCGAAATTATTAATTCATATTAATCCCCAGGGCTCATATGAGCTATATATGACTTTTTAAAAAATTTCTGCTTTGCAGATAGGGAAGCTGAGATCTGAAGATGTGAAGCCACCCCAAACTCCATTGTGGTGATCTATATGCATCACCACAATGCTACTTCTCCAAATCTATGAATATTACGATTATTGTGTCACTTTTATCAACCCTAACCCTAACCCTAACGGATACACGTGTGACCTGATGATATTTCAGTCTCTTCCAGGGCCCTCAGTTAGGGTTAGGATCCTAACTGTGGATATTTTCTCGAGGTAGAGATGGACAGAAAATCAGTGTCCCATCCTTCTTCTCATCCTAAATGTACATTCAGAGTGTAATTGAGAGTGACAAGTGGACTTAATGTATGCTACGTCCTTTTCTGAGGAAGATGAAAGCAGATTCCCTCATGAGGAGTGGCCTGATAGCATTCATTTCCATGCAGACTCTAATAGCTTATCTTGACCTCCTGTTATACGGGCTACCGTTTACTTAGTGAAGCTTACCTTGAGAGCAGGGGTGTGTGTGTGCGTGCTCGCGCGTGCGCGCGCAGACACGTGCACCTGCACGCATGCACACAAACATGCACTGGCTGTGTAGGCTCTCCTAGGAGGACAGCGGGTCCCCTAGGCTCTTGCTGGGCTCAGTCTGCCCAAAGTCATGGTGTCTCCATAACTGTAACCCCAGGAAGAAGGGCTTGCAGCTTCTGATCTTTCAAGTCTCAGAACTTTTGAATTCTTTATATGTGTTACATCCCTGCTTGCACTGGTCAATTCTTTTTGACTTTAACATTTCTCCTTTTTTCCCCTAGTTATTTGCAACTAGTGATGCTATTAGAAATCTATCTCAAAAACCCTTAGCATAAAGGTCCAGTTAGTTAGAAATATTTCTACCAGTTTATCAAATATTTTGCTACGACTGTCTGGGCCACTGATTTTACTGCTTCCGGAATCCTCACTACATCCTACCTGACCCAGAAGCCAGTGTCACGTATTTTAGGTTTTTGTTACAGTCGCGTCTCAGGATCCAAGTAGTAATTTCTCCAATACACAGCCCTTAGAGACTATTAGGGAAACAGAAGGGGACTGGGAGGAAGGGAGGTAACAGGCTGGTATGATCAAAGTATGTTGCACACAGGTATGCATATGCCACAGATACCCTGCTATCTCAGTGGCTGACACTAGCACACATCAATTTCTCTTTCTGTGGCATGAGTGCTTTGAGTTAGCTGTTGTGTTGGGGGTTTGGCTTGGTTCAATCCAACTTATTTTCTCATTCCAGAACCCAAGGTGAAGGAGTAGTGACCTTTTCCGTACCAAAGTGCCTTAGCAAGAGGATAGAGCCACACCTTGCAGCCTCATTTACATTGCATTTGATCAAAGCAAGTCCATTGATTAATCCCAAGGGGTAGGGAAGGTGCGCTCCATCCACAGGGAAGGCTGCCCTGGGAGGGAACCAAACAAAACTGTGTGCACTTAGGCTGCCTCATCTAGGATTTGACTTAGCTGACTACTTGACCTAAAAGAGTGTTTTCTCTCTCTCTTTCTCCCTTTTTTCTTTGTTTATATTGAACCTTGGAGGTTCAGGTATAAATGAAGATTCCAAGGACATAACAGCCTACCACACAGTGTTTCTTACAGCCATATTAGGAGGAACCATAGTCATTGTCATTGGATTTTTTGCTGTACTTCTTTGTTATTGCAGGTAAGAACAACATGAATCAATGTGGATAAACACAGAAAATATCAAACATAGTGTCATTTCAACATTCCATGTATTGCAAACTTGATTTGTAGAAATAAATGTAGTCTTCAAGATATGTAGATTAGAGATCAAAAGCATTATATCCTAACTAACAGTAGCATTGCTTAGGTGGTTTGCATATTGTGGGGTTAATTTACAAAGCTGAGCCTGCTAGATCATAACTCTTAAATAACTTTGTATTATCTTCTATTGTAGGGATAAGTGTGGTACTCCACCAAAAAGAGAAAGAAATACCACTAAACTTGAAGTGCTTAAAAGAGACCAGACAACTTCAACAACACACATTAATCACATTAGTTCAGTCAAAGCTGCATTAAAATCTGAGGACAAATCACAGTTATTCAATGCCCAAAACTCCTCATATAGTCCTCAAAAGAAGGAACCATCAAAGGCAGAAACAGAAGAAAGAGTTTCCATGGTAAAAACTCGGGATAATTTTAAAATCTACAACGAAGATGTTTCGTTTCTATCAGCCAGTCAAAGCAGTTACTCGAGAAAACCAATACAGTCATTGGAGCCCAATATGGGGACCAAACAGCCTAAGCACATTAGCAACAACCTGTCTTCGTCGTTAGGTGGCGCTCCTGAGGAAAAGCGGTACCTCACAGGGACTGAGGAGGGGTATGGGTGTTCCCAGATTCCCGAACAGCTTATGCATATCTACAGCCAGCCCATCGCCATCCTACAAACATCTGACCTTTTCTCTGCTCCAGAGCAGTTACACACTGCCAAGTCAGCCACTCTGCCAAGAAAGGGTCAGTTAGTCTACGGCCAACTGATGGAACCAGTGAACAGAGAGAACTTCACGCAGACATTGCCCAAAATGCCAATGCATTCTCATGCCCAGCCCCCAGATGCCAGAGAGGAGGACATTGTCCTGGAAGGTCAGCAGAGCTTGCCGTCCCAGACTTCAGATTGGAGCCGGTATTCCAACAGCTTACTGGAATCGGTCTCTGTGCCTGGAACCTTGAATGAAGCCGTCGTAATGACTCCATTTTCATCAGAACTTCAAGGGATTTCAGAACAGACCCTCCTGGAGCTGTCCAAAGGAAAGCCCTCCCCTCACCCCAGAGCTTGGTTTGTGTCTCTCGATGGAAAGCCAGTTGCTCAAGTGAGGCATTCCTTCATAGACCTGAAAAAGGGTAAGAGAACCCAGAGCAATGACACAAGCCTGGACTCCGGGGTGGACATGAATGAGCACCACTCGAGCAGGAAGCTCGAGCGGGAGAAGACATTCATCAAGAGCGTGCATCAGCCCAAGATCCTGTACTTGGAAGATTTAGACCTGAGCAGCAGCGAGAGTGGGACCACCGTCTGCTCCCCAGAGGACCCAGCTTTGAGGCACATCCTGGATGGAGGGAGTGGCGTTATCATGGAGCACCCCAGGGAAGAGTCCCCAGGAAGAAAAAGCACTGTCGAAGATTTTGAAGCCAATATTTCGCCCACGAAAAAGAGGGGCAGACCACCACTAGCCAAAAGAGATAGCAAGACCAACATTTGGAAGAAACGAGAGGAGCGCCCACTGATCCCCATTAATTAGCCCCTCGCGGGCTGCTTGTTCTTGCTTCCGGCGGTAAACTGCAATATGGAATTCTTAAGAAACTGAGACTGAGCCGTGGTCTGGTTCCTGGACATGTCTCAAGTGGAGTAAATCACAGAATGGTTTGACTGGTCTCAGTCACCAGAGAGAAAGATACCAGGGGAGGATGCTTTTTCCTGGCCTGTTCCTTTCATTTATTTTTGAGTGCTGAATTTGAAGTATTTAAGTTTTCAAACTGTAAAATAGTGTCGAGACGTTAGTTATTGTTTGCCAATTTGGTACTGACTCTTCTAAGAGTAAGACCGTGAACCGTGAACTCCCGAAGTTGCTTCCCCAAAATGTTGCCTCTGCCTCCACCACTACCCTGTGGAACCTTTAGGAATGAAACTCTCCAGGCATCATCCTTGTGAAATGTTACAGTTACGTCCTCCTCTGCCTTTACTTAAAAAACCAACTTGATAAAGGTTTGGACTGTTGTTATCCTAGAGTTCAAAGACCAAGCACCATTTTCTTTGTCTGAGGTAAATAGCATGTGTATCGTATCACCCCAAAAGTAAACTCTACACTCATAGAAAGTGGACAAGAAGCTGCCTGACCATTAAATGGGGTTGTTTATGAATGTAACTTCACAACATAAATAAGGTATTGATTTGTTATGTAGAAATTTGAGAAATGTATACTCTAATACTGGATTTTATTTCTTAATCTTTTCTTTTTTCCTCCCCTCAAGGATTAAGTGACCTTAGCTATGAAGGAAATTTCTTTTAAGTAATCCACAAAACAATGATATTACAAGTTAAGATCAATTTTAACATAGTCTGTTTCAACCAACCTTAGTCACTTAAAGGCTATCAAACATGACTTAAAAATGATAGAAGAGTTGCATGTGAACAGGAAAATGTTAAGATATGTGGAGATAAAGAAAATAAACATTTCACCTCGATGAGCTGAAAAAGAAAAGCCATTTTTCTGAGGATCAGAAATGTTTTCAGGATACTAATTATGTAAAGAGATGTTTCCATTTTTAAAGGACATTTTTGAGGAAAAGAGTTTCAATTTCAGGAGAAATATAAATTTTTCTTTATATCACTTGTAGTTTTTTTACTTCTTAGTTTTAGAAGTATTATATCAAAATCCTTTTTTAAAAATCACAGAAAATTCAGTGTGAACACATTCAATATTTGTTTTTAATTATGTGTCTTCAACTCTGAAGTATCATTCATAGGTCCTAAAAATAAAGGCGCTTGTTAATTAAAATCAGCCCACCCCATGTTTCTTAAAAATTCTATGAAGACTTGTCTGAAACACCTTTCCCTTCCCCTTGGTGGAAAATAACAGAACTAAATTGCTTTATTTATCATTCACTGCTATTCAAAGTAAGAGCAACATAGAAACTCAAGCCGCCCAAACAAGTTGAAAAAACCAAAATAGTTTCATTAGCTTTAGTAACATTGTAGATAGATGTACAATGGAAGAAAACATCTTTTTCCCTTGAGATAGTAGACTTCAGCCAGTATTTTCCTGTAACCACTTCTGAAGCATCTAATTGGTCAAACAGCTCTGTACTTTCTGTATTATCCCAAAGAATTTAAGGACAGGTATTTACATAATTTGCTATAATTACCCTAATCCACAGAAGAGATAAACATTTTGGGTCAATATGATTTTTTTAAAGTAGTGTTAAGGTTTACACTTAGAGGAGGCTTTTTGTTGGTCTTATAGAGAAAGGTTTATTAGACGCAGCAGGAAAAAAGATGATTTGGAAAAGGTTAAGGATGTTAAGTGCTCTACGGAAGTGCCTTTGATACAGATTTGCATTATTAGAAGGATACAGTAACATCTTTCTTAAGTGTACATTTTCTCTCTTAGCCAAATTAATCAGATGTGCAGTTTTTATTAAAAATTATGGACCTAGTGTTTCATGTTGGAACAAAGAAGTTTGCATGGAAGTAACCATTCTTTTTGTGTTTAACCCTTTTGGTAAATGCAGCACATGTTGATAAATTGTTTATGTTCAAATGAGGTTAGAAACTACATAGCAAATTATCGCACCTCCTCAATATTTTAAGTGTATACTTCTCACCTTTAAAATGTTTCATCTCTCAGCTTGGAAATGAAATACATGTGTTGGTGTATGGGCCTACATTCCAGAATGTAGCTTACTTTATTCATCTTGTGCAAGGGAAAGAGATGACAGACCCCAAGGGCTTTTCTACACCTTTGTGTTTAGTTTCCCAAAAAAGTTTATTATTTCTCCCCCAACTTCTGTTATTCCTACTTCTCTCCAGCTTCCTTCTCCTCCTTTGTCACTGCACGTACTGCTTGTGGTTGGGAATTTTAGGCAATTTAACTTTTCTAACCATCAAAAGAGTGTGACTTTTTCATTTGTGAGCAGTTCACAGACTTCCTGTTAGAAAACTGAAGCCATCTACTTTTTCTTAACCCAATGATAATAAATGAACAATATTCACTACTTTCTTGAATTTTTAAATTGAAAACTAAGTTTTTCTGCAAGTATAAATCTAGATAATTTTGGTTACAAATCGTTAACATTTGAGGATCCTTTGTACATACTCTGGGTATATCTTAAAGGCAAAATATTCAAACTGATGGGTTCATTTGCTAAACCACAGCTATATGTATTTTTGAATACATACGATGTTGAGACTTTATAAAATCAATTTTTATGAATTTATGCAGTTGTAAGGGGATGACGCCCTTTTGTAATGCGTAATACACCACGAAGATCACAAATGTTGAAGAATAAAATAACTTAGTTGTTTTGGCCATCACTTTTGAGATCTCTTTCCATGTGTTCAAATCCTTCAGTATCAATACATATTATAGGATTTTATAGATCTGTGGGTCAAATAATGCCCCACAAAACTTCCCAGAAAGGTAAACCTCGAAGTTACACATTCATTTATAAGGTATGGGTTACTTATTACTCCATGCACTGACATTGTGAAAGAATTTGACTGTATTAATTTTGCATTTCAGACCTAGAGTTTACATTTTGCCCTCTTGTTTCCAAGTGTTTCTATCTTTTGTATCCTTTCTTCAGAGAAATCTCCTATTTTAGTGTATTTATTGCCATTATTTCTGTACTTACTGCTCAAAACTGTAACAGATTTGTAAAATGTTAAACCTAGTTCATTAAAGATAAGACATGAAAGAGTGGACTCGGTGCATTGTTTGATTTTGGGTAAAATGCAGGAGCTGCCCCTGTCAGTTGTGATTTAATATGGTAAACAGCTGCTTACTTTCTACTGATTAAATTGTGCACAGTAAAATAAGCTCTGTTTATATAATGAACTGGAGAACTTTGTATGTCAGGGCTCCGAAGTTCACATTTTTACTATTGAAGCTGATTGTAGATACACTGTTTTCCATACAGCAAGAGTAAAATTGTTATAGTTTTAAACAGTTTATAATTCCTGTAACATCAGAATGCAAAATTGAAGTGATGAAATCCCTCATTCCATTTTAAAAACATTCTTTGGTTTTTAAATCTAAGACTAAATGATAACTCAAAGGCCATTCACATGTAAGTGTTACATTGCCAAGGGCCTCTGTTTAACCAAATGAACAACCTTTGAATTCAAGAAGTTTGTATTCAGAAGGTTTACATTTTTTTTTTTTAAATAAGGTCGTATATATTCCATCCTGACCTTGAACTCACTGTGTAATCCAGGCTGGCCTTGAGCTCATAGTGACCTTCCTGCTTCAGCCTCCTGAGTGCTGGCATTACATTACACGCCTGGTTTAGAATAGTTTTGTAAATTATCCTTGCTGCCATGTTTTTAGATGTTTTTTATAATTTTTCACATTAATATGTATAATTACCTTTGTCCTGTTTGATGGGATTGGGCTCTGACTCCAGTGGTGTAACAGTGTGAGTCCCACCCTGGCTAGGTGACGGGGACTTCCACTTGGAGCCCTGAAAGGACAGCCGGCCTTTGCTCCAGGGCCTGGTCTTCTTCTGGGAGGCCCTGAAGTCTCAGAAATGCTCACCTCCTGGAGGAGCGTGGAGACCCAAGCAGAAGGCATTTCCTAAATCACCATCCCGTTCTCACCGCAACAGGAAAAGTAATATGGGAAGAATGATAGGAAACAGAACTACAGGCAAGGGACGTGGATGGACACGAGATATTTTAATTAGTTCGTCAAAAATGATTCACCTGCTAGCCCTTAATAATCGTGACAGATAAACAGGGACCCTTCCTTTGGACTGCGTGTTGGAAATGTTAAGCTACATCACAGAATTACTTTGTGTAGACTACATAAACATCACCTTTCACCCACCCGTTTATAGGTGGATGTTTTTGTCAGGATCCACAGTTGGGATAGGTTACATCCTGCGTAAGCTCTGTCTGTATCAGTGGTGCTAATTACTGCAAGGAAACTGTTGGATTTGGATTTCCCTTCTCCATCAAAATAAAGGTTATTTTTTTCTTGTCTTTTCCTTTTATTTTGAGCTTCAATGTTATTCAGCCTATAAACTTCTAGCTACTGAATTTTTTTTTTGCTTTTCTGAAGTATAACATCTTAAGAATATGATGCCAGAAAAATAGTCTGGAACTAAATCACAATTTATTATGTTAAACACCAAAACTTTGATAGATAATCACAAATGATAAGTCATTCAATACATTTGGGGAATTTCTTAGGAAAAAGAACCATTTTGTCTTTTGAGTTTATAACTCCATTAAGCTATGTTAAAGATCAGTTTTTACTACCTGTGGTATTTGTCAAAGATAATGTTTTCTCCATTTTATTAGCTATAATACACAAATACCTTCCTGTTTTTGTTGAGAAGGCTTACATATTGGGTGCATTATGACAAAACCTTGCTTAATGCTGTAATTCCTGATTTTCAAACCTAATGCTTGCTCTGCTTGTGTGAAGAGCACTTAGGGAGACTCCTATTTCCCATTTGAGTTGGGTTTTTCCCTTCTGTTCATATTAACTAGGGGTTTCATAATTCATATGTTGACTGGGTTTAATCCTCATAGACCTTATTAAAACACTAGACTAACTGCAGACAGTCTGACTCAAAACAAATCAGGTAATTACATTCCCATGAGTCTCCAAGGTTATCATATGCAAACAACTTCATTAACAATTTTAAATGTCACACAGAAAAGCATAATTGGGACTATTCTATGGAATAAATATCTCAGTAAGTTTTATTTTACATCCGTTTCAGTTCACAAAATACGTTTTGTGTAGAAAGTACTTTTAAAACAATCAGTTTAAATTTATCTCCATAATCATATTTTGTAATACATAATATTTTGAAACCAGTTTTTAATTTAGGTAACTTCTAAAGATTTGTACCCATTAAAGACAGAGAGTTTGTTAACACCTATATATGCTTACAGATGTCTTTTCTCATTGTTACTGTTTTTCCATCTGGAGTTTATTTCTGATTTTTAAAAATGGTTGTATCTCTATATTCCACAGATTTAACCAAAATACTGATAATTTTAATACTGACAAAGAAGATGCTACTAGCAAGTAGGCGAGGTTTGAAATTTAGGAGATTCTTTTATAGGGAGAGCTTACATTTATACTTTTCCAACCAGGTATAATTTTTACTTCATGTACAGATAAAATGGAAAACAAAAGTTTCTAAAAGGAAAGTTTTGCTAATAATCTTTCACACTTACTGGTTTCCTGAAGCCCTGGTTTGTTAAAAAAAAAAAAAAAATCATTTTCGTTTTCCATGATGAGACTAAAAAAAAGCTGAAAGGAATTAGTTATAACAGAACTGTATTTATTCTTACTGATAGAGACCTGCCTATTTCTTCTGCTTCTTTTAGAAGCCCAGGTAAACTTTAATACTGATAAAATTGGCCGTGTAAAACAACTCCAGCATGAATCAGAGAATTTCTAAAGTTTCATCTGCACCACAATGGAGTCGTCAATTCACTCCAAAATCTGTGTTATAAATGTACTGTCCTGTGGTGTATACCAAATTCTTACAATGAACTGTTGTAGTTTATCTCCTCAGTTCACAAGCTCTGTATGCAGAATTGTGTTTATAACTCCTCTAAATCCCAATAATACTTTTGTTATAATATGTGCTCAATAAGTAGACTTATGGATTGAAAAAATGACAGTTGATTGTGTTCAGGGGAAAGCATGTAATGTGTTCCGGGTAGGAGGAAGTGTGACATCAGCACACTGGTTCCCCCACAGCCCCAAGGATTCAGCAGCCACCCACAAACCAAAGTGCCCCCCTGGAGCTCTGGGATCCCTGAAGACAGAGTGAAACCCCGGCTGAACTCCAGACCTAAGAGGGCTGGTGTGACAGGGAGGACTGACATCCCGGTGGAGGGCAGCAGGTGGCTACACCAGACCTGCAAGTGGCTCTTTCCTTTGTGCACACTGCTACTGCCCCGTGTGCTCTTGGTGTCACTACCAAAGTCAATGGTCAAGGCACCCGGAACTAGTTCTGACCACCTGGACCTCAGGTGACAGGTCTGCTTGGTTTGTTCTCAGCTGTGAAATCCAAGATGACCCTGAGACTTGGCCTTAGCTAGAGACTGAGAACACTCCTGCCCCTCATGATAATCTGGGGTGGGGACGTACTTGCCCAGGTGCCCAGCAGCCAGCCTGCAGGCCTTGATCTTTTGTTTTGTTTTGTTTTTCAAGCGAAGGAGTTTGTGTTTGCCAGGCAAGCACTGGGGTGCTGAGCTATACCGCTGGCCACAGGCCTCGGTCTTGGCTGTGCAGACAGTTGTGGTCCTGTGACCCAGTTCCAGCCTCTGCCCTGTGCACAGGGCCAGTGTGAGCTGCCAGGACCTGCCCGTAGGGCTCCCCCTGGAATGCAGAGGCTGCCGCGCCTGTCTCTCCACCTGGTGACAGAGGATCCTGAAGCAGCCCCTCTCTTGTGTAGTTTCCACATATGAGAGAAAATGTGATTTTTAATAAGTCTCATGATAATCACGCAAAAAAATCTGAAGTGGAGAAACAATAATTAACAAGAAATCAAAATACACTACTAGGGTAAATCACTTAACCATAAAGGAAGATGGTGAGAGAGGGAGAAAGAGAAAAAAGAACTACAACAAAACTACAAAAAAGTTCTAACAAGGGCTACAGTAAGACTTTACCTGTCAATAATTACCTGAATGGAAATGGATTAAGTTGTTCAATTAAAAGTCATAGAGCAGCTAAATGGATTAAAAGTGAAACCAACTACATTTGCATAACAAGAAACTAATTTGCCTCTAAGGACACACAGAGGTTGAAAGTGAAGGGCCAGGAGAAGGTATTTTATGGGAACGGAAGCCAAAGGAAACGAGTTGTCACACTACCAGATAAAAATAGATTTCAAATCAAAAGCATTAAACAGATAAGGAAATCTATTGTATAACCACAAAGGAGTTGATTCAGCAAGTGGAAATAACAATTCTAAATACATATGCATTTCCAAAGCAGAGGATCCAAATATGTAAACAAATATTAATAGACATAACGAAGAGACAGAAATACTGCTGTAAGCTTGAAGACTTTAATACAAAGCTACTGTGATAAAATCAGCATGGTACTGGCAAAGAAAACAAACCTGAGGATGAGTGGAACAGATTAGCAGATGGAGACGTAACTCTAAACACACTCAGCCACCTTGTCTTTGACAAAGAAGCCAAACACATTCACTGGAAGAAAGATAGCTTCTTTAATAAATGGTGCTGGAAAAACTGGCTTCCCACATGTTGAGAACTAAAACTAAACCCTTGTCTATCACCATACACTAAACTAGGTCAAAATGGATGGAATATCTAAATGCCAAAACAGGAGCATCAAATATGTTGGAAGAGAAAATACGTAGAAATAGGTATTGGCAGAGACTTCATGAAAAAAACCCAGATCACGTGGGAAATACTACAAAGAATCAGCAACTGGGATCTCATCCCATTAAAAAGCTTTTGCACAATAGAAGAAGTCACCCACAGAGTGAAAAGATAACCCACAGAGTGGAAAAATTTAACCAGTTGTCCCTCAGACAAAGGACTTACATCTAGAACATCTAAAGACTTGAAAAAAATCAGACTCCCCCAAATTCAAAGATCCTATCCAAAAACAGGCCTTTGAGATAAATACACACTTGTCAGATGAAGAAATACAAACAGCAAATAAATACATGAAAAAAAATGTTCAACATCATTGGTCA